TAGATATTGCCGAAACTCTAGGCCTAATAAGACTATTCACAATATATTGAGACACTTTTGCTATCCTATATTCTCAAATGTTATAGTATAACTAGTATGATCTTGGCACATTTCTACATAAGTTGTTGTATTATTTTCCAAATGGAAAACAGGGAAAAAAAAAAACACAACTCACGAAGAAAATTGCACCTGAATAGGAAACTTGATTGTGAAACTCAAGAAGAAAATCACCTGTGACATACTAGATAACAATCAGAGAAAAAACATTCCGTTCTGTAAATATCACCTACAATCTTTCAAAAGTACACCACCGCTTTAGAATGTACAGCACATAGCAGATATTTACATAACAAAACGTAGAAGGAAATCCATAACACTTGTTCAAGTTTTTTTTTTTCAGAAAGTTAATTTGTTCCAGTTAATGAACCGAAACATAAGAAGTGGTCCCAGATCAATTTTAAGTTGTCTGTAAGCATGTCAGAGACTAGGTTGATTTCATCCTTGTNTTTTCAGAAAGTTACTTTGTTCCAGTTAATGAACCGAAACATAAGAAGTGGTCCCAGATCAATTTTAAGTTGTCTGTAAGCATGTCAGAGACTAGGTTGATTTCATCCTTGTGTTCCTGCAATTTGGTACAGGCAAGGTCAGAAAAATATTAATGTACTTAAAAACTAGCAACCACAAAACCATAAAACACAAATCAGTAGAAATACGGTTTATAATAGGGAACAAATTACAGGTTTTCAGTAAAGGACCAAAGACTTGTGACTATCTGTGAAATACCATGTAGTTTGGCTATGAGAGTGGATGTCAGAGCCAATCACCAGAAAGGGTTCAAGAGAGTGTGGAAGCACCTTTTATTAAAAAAAATTGAAGTAGAGGACTCTAGCTTTATGCATAATTCTGTGTTTATTCACTTGGTGAACGAATCAAATGCACTTAGGTATCAATTAACCATTGTCGTAGTTGAAAGCCAACACCTTATCACCTATTTATATGTTATTGATATTGAAGTCAATTACAATATTATGAAAGTAAAACATAATAAGAAAATCACATAATAGGAAAGTGACATAATAGCTATGCAACATAATAGAAAGTAAAACAATAGGAAACTAACACTCCAACATCCCCTAAGTTGGAGCATAAAGATAAAAATTGTCCAGTTTGGAATAAAGATTCCTAAAGATGGACTGTGCCAATGATTTTGTGAGAAAATCACCGAGGTGACCCACAAGTGGACCGCACCAATGATTTGGTGAGAAAATCGCTGAGCTGATCGCAATCTCCACGTAGAGAATAAGGATGATAAAACCAAAGCTTTAGGTGACTACTTCAGACCATTCAGAGACTTCTTTAATTAATGCACACTATTACGATACTCCTCCAAAGCAACAAATCAATGTGATTGGTTAATTTAAAATCTAAGACATCCCATTGGTTCTCTAGAGAAACAATTAGTGACCATACCAAAACAAGTAATAACAAACAACAATCACGACAACACAAAGGGCAAAAACAAGGTGACGATAAAGGACAAACACAACACCACCAAAACCACTGACAACTACAAATTAAACTGAAATAGGCAAATCGGGAAAAATAATTGGGATGGAATCAACCAAAAAGATGTTGAATACAAGTTTAAACCACAAAACCAATGAAAACTTCAATCAAAACTGAACTAGGATAAAAACTACTAAACTAGCACCAAATTGTGTCGAAAACCGACACTAAACTGGGTTGAAAACATTGAACCAGAATTAAATTGGAATAAAAATCATTAAACCAACACCAAACTGTGCCGAAAACACTAAACTAGAATTAAATAAGGTTGAAAACACTGAGAAGGAATTAAATCAGGATGAAAACCACTAAACCAATACTAAAGTGTGTCGAAAATACTGAACCAGAATTAAACCAAGTTGAAAACATTGAACCGAAATTAAACCAGGATAAAAACCACTAAACCAGTACCAAACTAATCTGAAAACCTCCAAACCGACACTAATCGGGCTAAAACACTTAACTCAATGAAAACCACAAAATAAACATCAAACAAGCTAAAAACCATTGAACTGACACTAAACCGGGTTAAAAACATTGAACTGAAGTTGATTCTCGGATGAAAACCACTACACAAGTGTCAAAGTGAGCTGAAATCCACTAAACCGGACTGAAAACACCAAACTAAAACTAATCCATGATGAAAACCCTCACACCAACACCAAACTGAGTTGAACAACACTAAACCAAACTAAAACACCAAAATCCGCCTAATTATTAGACATGAAAGACACGAACACAGATTCAGATACTCCATAATAACTAGTAATGATAACCATGTTGGGCAAAACTTTAGATATTTTGCCGAACATGACTTTATTCATATAACGAGAAATTATATGAGTTTTATTAATATAAGTTGGATCCATTCCAGATAAACTATATCTGTTAATTATAATCACTTGTTTCAAGGGAACAATCTTTGACTCCAACGAGAAATTACCACACGTTAACATTTACCCCACGAGAGAATGGAAAGAAAAAATATTTTTTGTGTAGTAACGGCTGAACCTAGGTTAATTACCTAGGTTTCATACATATCCGTCGACGGGATCAAGCTAATTCTTAGTTCGGAGAGATTAAACTATTTTTGGGGTAAGATCAATGGGTAGATGACCCATTGNGGGTTTATTGCCGAAGAATTTAGGAAGTGTTTGGATTGTGTTTGTAAAACAGTTGGTTAGGTTTTTTGTTCTCCAATTTTTAGAAGAAAGTAAGAACTAAATGATGTTCTCTCTGTTGTCAAGCCAAAATGAAAACACGGGAAACGCAACCCTACTCTTTAATCAAGTCTGGACTTTGAGTTTTGTTGGAGACATTTTCAGCCATCTCTCTCGCAACTCAATTCAAGAGCGTCGGAAGCCTCTCTCTCTCTCAAGATCTAAACACAGATCTGTGTATATACACAGATTCGTGTGCAATGTGTGTGGGTTTGCTGGGAGATGTAAGTGTGCTGTGAGTGTGTGGGTTGTGTGTGTTTGATGTGTGAATATGTGGGTGCGTTTGACGTGTGCAATATGTGTGTGTTTGCTGTGTGCGATATGTCTGTGTTTGCTGTGTGAGTGAGTGAGTTTTAGTGTGTGTGTGTGTGTGTGTGTGTGTGAAGATTGAGAGANTACAACATACAATTTTTAAAATCCATAAGAATGTATTTTATTTAGAATGGGTCAAACTAAAATGCGAAATTGGACAATTAAGCTTGAAGGGTCAAGTCAAGGATAAATAACTTACGAAAATATTATGTGCTGAGCATGTATCTATCACAAACCTCTGCTTAAAATTCGCACCTAAATATGATGAGCAATGAATTTTTTTATCGTTTAACAATCACAATAGTCGATGAACAAACGCAAATAACTACAAGTTGATGTGTGCAGGGGCGGCCCAACCACTAGGCAAGTGAGGCGCTCGCCTAAGGTCGGGCCCCACTCACCCAGGTATCTTGCTCTGATAGACAGTTGAAACTTGAGCAACTGTATGTTAGGGTTAAGGAAAAGAAAGAGAAGAAGAAGAAATGAAGAGAGTATGAAACAATGGGGTGTTGTCAACACGTTATCATCTATTTATATTATATTGATATTGAAGACAATTACAATATTAGGATAGTATAGCATAATGAGAAACTAGAACAATAGGAAAACGACATAACCGAAAAGCAACATAATAGGGAAGTAACAGTCATAAATCTGATTTTGTTGGTGCTAGAAGCATACATACCCCCTTAGGTTGAGCGTTAGACTGTGCAAAGGACAAATCCCCTTTTCAAGGGTCTTACACTAACTGTTTGAAAAGTCAAATTCATAGATTATACTAGGCCAAAGGCTGCAAATCTTCTAGTAGTCTAGCAATGCGTAGCCTCCCAATGTTATGAGATAAGCCACAAATGAAGAATTGGTTTGAGTTATTTCAAAAATGGTTGACAGAATCAGGAACCAAATTGAGTGCTGCAAAACAAAGAGTGTTCAATCAAAACTGAATATAATAGTCATGGGTTGTCTTGAAAGGTTTGTACATCATTAACTGAGGGTGGTTGGCCAAAAACCATGACTAGACGGGTTTATTGCCGAAGAATTTAGGAAGTGTTTGGATTGTGTTTGTAAAACAGTTGGTTAGGTTTTTTGTTCTCCAATTTTTAGAAGAAAGTAAGAACTAAATGATGTTCTCTCTGTTGTCAAGCCAAAATGAAAACACGGGAAACGCAACCCTACTCTTTAATCAAGTCTGGACTTTGAGTTTTGTTGGAGACATTTTCAGCCATCTCTCTCGCAACTCAATTCAAGAGCGTCGGAAGCCTCTCTCTCTCTCAAGATCTAAACACAGATCTGTGTATATACACAGATTCGTGTGCAATGTGTGTGGGTTTGCTGGGAGATGTAAGTGTGCTGTGAGTGTGTGGGTTGTGTGTGTTTGATGTGTGAATATGTGGGTGCGTTTGACGTGTGCAATATGTGTGTGTTTGCTGTGTGCGATATGTCTGTGTTTGCTGTGTGAGTGAGTGAGTTTTAGTGTGTGTGTGTGTGTGTGTGTGTGTGAAGATTGAGAGAAGAGAGAGAGAGAGGGAAGGGAAAGACAAATGAGACTGGAGATGAAAATTGGAGTGCGGTGGGGTGGTTTTGTAGATCATTGTTCAAACAAGTTTTACTGTTTTCTGTTTTTTAAAACTATTTACAAAAACATATAACCAAACAGGTTTTACAATATAAAGATTTCAAAACACACTTTCTTAAAACTCATCCCAAAAATTATTTTCAGATACTGTTTTTTGATATGCAATCCAAATATGCCCTTAATTCTAGGGATATGCATGAGGGTACCAAGTCAGATAATTTTAATAAGAAGAAAACTATCAAGAATTCACCCCGAAGAACGCAATGAATAAGATAGACTAGACTCATCTAACCATGCATTTACCAGATAATATGGAATCAATCTTATCATCTACACAAGCAGATTACAGAATCAACTACCACAAAAAAACTCACCAGCAAGTTTGATACTATTGAAGTCATTTTCAGAGTGACCTCGCATGTAACTTCCCCAGATGAAGACAGGAAGTCAAATCTATCTGCATCTCGGATCTTAAGCCTAATTGATGAACCTCTATATATTTTAGCATTTATATGCCAAACCCCAACAACAGTGTATCGGTCTCCAGAAGACTCCTTCCCGAGGCGCCATCTTAACCCACCCTTCACTTCCGGGTCTAAAGTGGCAGAACTAACTAGACTTCTGATGCTATCTATCTCATCGTCCTGGAACAGAACAGAATTTAATCAGATCACAGGTTTCATCCCATTACATGTATCAGCAAAGAAATTCTCTTAACTTTTGTTTTCTTCACCCACTGGGAAGATGTAGCATAATATGTGTGGGTGCCTTCACTCACGTGAGCAGGTAAGATACTCATCATAGGAGAAAAAAAACCAATTATATCATATTACCCAAATTTCATTTAGGAAACATCATCTTCTATATGCATCTCTTGANATAGGCAAATCGGGAAAAATAATTGGGATGGAATCAACCAAAAAGATGTTGAATACAAGTTTAAACCACAAAACCAATGAAAACTTCAATCAAAACTGAACTAGGATAAAAACTACTAAACTAGCACCAAATTGTGTCGAAAACCGACACTAAACTGGGTTGAAAACATTGAACCAGAATTAAATTGGAATAAAAATCATTAAACCAACACCAAACTGTGCCGAAAACACTAAACTAGAATTAAATAAGGTTGAAAACACTGAGAAGGAATTAAATCAGGATGAAAACCACTAAACCAATACTAAAGTGTGTCGAAAATACTGAACCAGAATTAAACCAAGTTGAAAACATTGAACCGAAATTAAACCAGGATAAAAACCACTAAACCAGTACCAAACTAATCTGAAAACCTCCAAACCGACACTAATCGGGCTAAAACACTTAACTCAATGAAAACCACAAAATAAACATCAAACAAGCTAAAAACCATTGAACTGACACTAAACCGGGTTAAAAACATTGAACTGAAGTTGATTCTCGGATGAAAACCACTACACAAGTGTCAAAGTGAGCTGAAATCCACTAAACCGGACTGAAAACACCAAACTAAAACTAATCCATGATGAAAACCCTCACACCAACACCAAACTGAGTTGAACAACACTAAACCAAACTAAAACACCAAAATCCGCCTAATTATTAGACATGAAAGACACGAACACAGATTCAGATACTCCATAATAACTAGTAATGATAACCATGTTGGGCAAAACTTTAGATATTTTGCCGAACATGACTTTATTCATATAACGAGAAATTATATGAGTTTTATTAATATAAATTGGATCCATTCCAGATAAACTATATCTGTTAATTATAATCACTTGTTTCAAGGGAACAATCTTTGACTCCAACGAGAAATTACCACACGTTAACATTTACCCCACGAGAGAATGGAAAGAAAAAATATTTTTTGTGTAGTAACGGCTGAACCTAGGTTAATTACCTAGGTTGCATACATATCCGTCGACGGGATCAAGCTAATTCTTAGTTCGGAGAGATTAAACTACTTTTGGGGTAAGATCAATGGGTAGATGACCCATTGCTCTTGAACGGATAAAATGTCCATCATGTTTGAAATGGATAAATGACCATTTGAATTTGATATGGGTTTAGGACCCACTTGATTGTGGGGGAGTTCTGGATGCGCCTAATTTAATTAGACTGCTTACGTATCCGAAAAGGATCAAGTCAGTTGAAGTTCCTGGAAAAAGAATTTAGAATTTGGTGCACCACCCAGTCTCCCCTTACTTGTAGGAAAATTGTCCCTTAGAGGGACTCTAGAATTCCACTCTCGGTTCTCTTTTTTTTGTGTACAACATACAATTTTTAAAATCCATAAGAATGTATTTTATTTAGAATGGGTCAAACTAAAATGCGAAATTGGACAATTAAGCTTGAAGGGTCAAGTCAAGGATAAATAACTTACGAAAATATTATGTGCTGAGCATGTATCTATCACAAACCTCTGCTTAAAATTCGCACCTAAATATGATGAGCAATGAATTTTTTTATCGTTTAACAATCACAATAGTCGATGAACAAACGCAAATAACTACAAGTTGATGTGTGCAGGGGCGGCCCAACCACTAGGCAAGTGAGGCGCTCGCCTAAGGTCGGGCCCCACTCACCCAGGTATCTTGCTCTGATAGACAGTTGAAACTTGAGCAACTGTATGTTAGGGTTAAGGAAAAGAAAGAGAAGAAGAAGAAATGAAGAGAGTATGAAACAATGGGGTGTTGTCAACACGTTATCATCTATTTATATTATATTGATATTGAAGACAATTACAATATTAGGATAGTATAGCATAATGAGAAACTAGAACAATAGGAAAACGACATAACCGAAAAGCAACATAATAGGGAAGTAACAGTCATAAATCTGATTTTGTTGGTGCTAGAAGCATACATACCCCCTTAGGTTGAGCGTTAGACTGTGCAAAGGACAAATCCCCTTTTCAAGGGTCTTACACTAACTGTTTGAAAAGTCAAATTCATAGATTATACTAGGCCAAAGGCTGCAAATCTTCTAGTAGTCTAGCAATGCGTAGCCTCCCAATGTTATGAGATAAGCCACAAATGAAGAATTGGTTTGAGTTATTTCAAAAATGGTTGACAGAATCAGGAACCAAATTGAGTGCTGCAAAACAAAGAGTGTTCAATCAAAACTGAATATAATAGTCATGGGTTGTCTTGAAAGGTTTGTACATCATTAACTGAGGGTGGTTGGCCAAAACCCATGACTAGAGGGGTTTATTGCCGAAGAATTTAGGAAGTGTTTGGATTGTGTTTGTAAAACAGTTGGTTAGGTTTTTTGTTCTCCAATTTTTAGAAGAAAGTAAGAACTAAATGATGTTCTCTCTGTTGTCAAGCCAAAATGAAAACACGGGAAACGCAACCCTACTCTTTAATCAAGTCTGGACTTTGAGTTTTGTTGGAGACATTTTCAGCCATCTCTCTCGCAACTCAATTCAAGAGCGTCGGAAGCCTCTCTCTCTCTCAAGATCTAAACACAGATCTGTGTATATACACAGATTCGTGTGCAATGTGTGTGGGTTTGCTGGGAGATGTAAGTGTGCTGTGAGTGTGTGGGTTGTGTGTGTTTGATGTGTGAATATGTGGGTGCGTTTGACGTGTGCAATATGTGTGTGTTTGCTGTGTGCGATATGTCTGTGTTTGCTGTGTGAGTGAGTGAGTTTTAGTGTGTGTGTGTGTGTGTGTGTGTGTGAAGATTGAGAGAAGAGAGAGAGAGAGGGAAGGGAAAGACAAATGAGACTGGAGATGAAAATTGGAGTGCGGTGGGGTGGTTTTGTAGATCATTGTTCAAACAAGTTTTACTATTTTCTGTTTTTTAAAACTATTTACAAAAACATATAACCAAACAGGTTTTACAATATAAAGATTTCAAAACACACTTTCTTAAAACTCATCCCAAAAATTATTTTCAGATACTGTTTTTTGATATGCAATCCAAATATGCCCTTAATTCTAGGGATATGCATGAGGGTACCAAGTCAGATAATTTTAATAAGAAGAAAACTATCAAGAATTCACCCCGAAGAACGCAATGAATAAGATAGACTAGACTCATCTAACCATGCATTTACCAGATAATATGGAATCAATCTTATCATCTACACAAGCAGATTACAGAATCAACTACCACAAAAAAACTCACCAGCAAGTTTGATACTATTGAAGTCATTTTCAGAGTGACCTCGCATGTAACTTCCCCAGATGAAGACAGGAAGTCAAATCTATCTGCATCTTGGATCTTAAGCCTAATTGATGAACCTCTATATATTTTAGCATTTATATGCCAAACCCCAACAACAGTGTATCGGTCTCCAGAAGACTCCTTCCCGAGGCGCCATCTTAACCCACCCTTCACTTCCGGGTCTAAAGTGGCAGAACTAACTAGACTTCTGATGCTATCTATCTCATCGTCCTGGAACAGAACAGAATTTAATCAGATCACAGGTTTCATCCCATTACATGTATCAGCAAAGAAATTCTCTTAACTTTTGTTTTCTTCACCCACTGGGAAGATGTAGCATAATATGTGTGGGTGCCTTCACTCACGTGAGCAGGTAAGATACTCATCATAGGAGAAAAAAAACCAATTATATCATATTACCCAAATTTCATTTAGGAAACATCATCTTCTATATGCATCTCTTGAAAATTAACAAATTCTTGACTAATGATTAGATATCTAAGCAAACCGATAATCTTTATAATGTAGAAATGCAGAAAAGAACATGAAGGAAATCCACCCATATGAATTATCAAATATTTGTTTCATGAAGTAGAGCAGTACTACAAGCTGCACACACACACACAGTAGCTACATAAATAAACACCGAAGCCAGAGAAAGCATAAATGACTTATAATATCTGCTTGAAATTGTAGAAATGAGATATATCTTGATTTTAAAAATGTTATTTCACAGAGAATCAAAGGAATATGAAGAAAACATGAGATATCGAAATCCAAGGAAAAAATAACAAGAAATAAAGGGGAGTCAAAGCTGATACTTTACTAGCAGCTTCTGGCTGGAATAACCACCATGGTCTCGCCTTTTGATTCAGTTCCAAAGTTGATGAGCAATAATAGGTGACTTAACCAAACAAAGATATTCAAATTCAATTAAAAAATGTCCTGTTCACAAATTTGTAACAGAGTGAATAACATCAAAGATATTAGCTGGATATCCAAATAGAACTTCGTTAAGCCATACAGCATACAGAAATTAACCAATATAAGTATCAAGTTGGTTATAGTGAAAAATGAGATTTCATAAACAAAAGTGTCTCCACTAGTGAGGACCTATATACACTTTGTTCAAGAAAGGGTTCTTTCATTGACATGAAAGAATAAGGCCAGACCAATGAGTCTTTGGTCCAATGGTACTCCTTATCTTGTGAAGACTTTGCCTTCTTGAGGTCAAGGGTTCAANGAAAGAAAAAATATTTTTTGTGTAGTAACGGCTGAACCTAGGTTAATTACCTAGGTTGCATACATATCCGTCGACGGGATCAAGCTAATTCTTAGTTCGGAGAGATTAAACTACNGAAAGAAAAAATATTTTTTGTGTAGTAACGGCTGAACCTAGGTTAATTACCTAGGTTTCATACATATCCGTCGACGGGATCAAGCTAATTCTTAGTTCGGAGAGATTAAACTATTTNTTCAAGCCCCCTTCCCCCCCCCCCTCCCAAAAAAAAAAAAAAAAAAAAAGAAGGACAGAGTTGCATTGGAAAGACGAGAGAAGAATCCTCTTTCTAATGTTTTCAAAAAAAAAAATCTAGATTTGCTACTTGCAAATTCAATTAACTATTTTAATGCAAAGCATAATAGCGATGGAGTTTCCCAGTGGCTTTTGNACTTTTGGGGTAAGATCAATGGGTAGATGACCCATTGCTCTTGAACGGATAAAATGTCCATCATGTTTGAAATGGATAAATGACCATTTGAATTTGATATGGGTTTAGGACCCACTTGATTGTGGGGGAGTTCTGGATGCGCCTAATTTAATTAGACTGCTTACGTATCCGAAAAGGATCAAGTCAGTTGAAGTTCCTGGAAAAAGAATTTAGAATTTGGTGCACCACCCAGTCTCCCCTTACTTGTAGGAAAATTGTCCCTTAGAGGGACTCTAGAATTCCACTCTCGGTTCTCTTTTTTTTGTGTACAACATACAATTTTTAAAATCCATAAGAATGTATTTTATTTAGAATGGGTCAAACTAAAATGCGAAATTGGACAATTAAGCTTGAAGGGTCAAGTCAAGGATAAATAACTTACGAAAATATTATGTGCTGAGCATGTATCTATCACAAACCTCTGCTTAAAATTCGCACCTAAATATGATGAGCAATGAATTTTTTTATCGTTTAACAATCACAATAGTCGATGAACAAACGCAAATAACTACAAGTTGATGTGTGCAGGGGCGGCCCAACCACTAGGCAAGTGAGGCGCTCGCCTAAGGTCGGGCCCCACTCACCCAGGTATCTTGCTCTGATAGACAGTTGAAACTTGAGCAACTGTATGTTAGGGTTAAGGAAAAGAAAGAGAAGAAGAAGAAATGAAGAGAGTATGAAACAATGGGGTGTTGTCAACACGTTATCATCTATTTATATTATATTGATATTGAAGACAATTACAATATTAGGATAGTATAGCATAATGAGAAACTAGAACAATAGGAAAACGACATAACCGAAAAGCAACATAATAGGGAAGTAACAGTCATAAATCTGATTTTGTTGGTGCTAGAAGCATACATACCCCCTTAGGTTGAGCGTTAGACTGTGCAAAGGACAAATCCCCTTTTCAAGGGTCTTACACTAACTGTTTGAAAAGTCAAATTCATAGATTATACTAGGCCAAAGGCTGCAAATCTTCTAGTAGTCTAGCAATGCGTAGCCTCCCAATGTTATGAGATAAGCCACAAATGAAGAATTGGTTTGAGTTATTTCAAAAATGGTTGACAGAATCAGGAACCAAATTGAGTGCTGCAAAACAAAGAGTGTTCAATCAAAACTGAATATAATAGTCATGGGTTGTCTTGAAAGGTTTGTACATCATTAACTGAGGGTGGTTGGCCAAAACCCATGACTAGAGGGGTTTATTGCCGAAGAATTTAGGAAGTGTTTGGATTGTGTTTGTAAAACAGTTGGTTAGGTTTTTTGTTCTCCAATTTTTAGAAGAAAGTAAGAACTAAATGATGTTCTCTCTGTTGTCAAGCCAAAATGAAAACACGGGAAACGCAACCCTACTCTTTAATCAAGTCTGGACTTTGAGTTTTGTTGGAGACATTTTCAGCCATCTCTCTCGCAACTCAATTCAAGAGCGTCGGAAGCCTCTCTCTCTCTCAAGATCTAAACACAGATCTGTGTATATACACAGATTCGTGTGCAATGTGTGTGGGTTTGCTGGGAGATGTAAGTGTGCTGTGAGTGTGTGGGTTGTGTGTGTTTGATGTGTGAATATGTGGGTGCGTTTGACGTGTGCAATATGTGTGTGTTTGCTGTGTGCGATATGTGTGTGTTTGCTGTGTGCGATATGTGTGTGTTTGCTGTGTGAGTGAGTGAGTTTTAGTGTGTGTGTGTGTGTGTGTGTGTGTGTGTGAAGATTGAGAGAAGAGAGAGAGAGAGAGAGAGAGAGGGAAGGGAAAGACAAATGAGACTGGAGATGAAAATTGGAGTGCGGTGGGGTGGTTTTGTAGATCATTGTTCAAACAAGTTTTACT